CCTTCAGCACAGCCTCTCCATCCACTTCTGCAGAAAGGGACAGCTGGATCAGATGGCAGCATTCCCCACTGGGGAGGTGGCATCTTCAGGAGGCAATGCTTGCCAAAGACTTGGTTAAGGACCAGGAAATCATATAAACTTTTGGGATTGGCCAGGGCCCTCCTTTCTCCAAACAGCTGCCATTTCTGATCTACCCGGAGACCAGAGAATTCTACAAGATCTCAGGGTGTGCATGGCCCATGGTGCAGTTTGGACTCCCTGTCAGCTGATACCAAATGCCTTCCTGCAGAGGCTGGGGAGAAGCTGCAGCCAGGCCAGGCTGGGAAACAGCCCTGCAGGGCATGAAAGCAGCAGCAGGGCAGCGAGGCTGCCATGGATCCCTTCCCATGGTGCAGGGCATGGCATGTCCAGAAAAAAACCCTGACTGCTGAGTCTCAGGAAAGGCTGAGGGAAATGTACCCACCACGCCCTTTGAGCAGTTCCTTCTCTATTTCTTTCAGGATGTGGTGTGACTCAAGTGATTCTTTCTGTCCTGTGGCTCTGTTCTTCCCTCTCAGAGGACCTTAATAAAAAATAGTTCCATTTCCCAGGAATGGATCCCAGAAAAGCAATGCTCAGCCTGTGGGTACGGCAGGGACACACCACTCACCCCTGCGATGGGAGCCGGGCTTGTGTGCAGTGATCAGCAAAGGATCTGGGAAAGTCCTCCCTGCAGACACACCTGTAACTCAACAGCCACAGAAGCTTCTGTCACCTGGTTCCTACCAGGTTGTCAATGATTATTCCTCGATGGGACACTGAGAACATACCTGCAGGAAGCTCCAAGGGCTTCAAAACTTTATGCAGCCAATCTAATGGAGAATCCTTCCTGGGAACCTCATCTGGAAGGGAACAGATCAGAACCATTCCATGGTGTGCTGGGATCGCCTTCAACCTTAGGGAACTGGGCACTGCCAGGGGGTTGGGTAAGACCATGGGAGCAAGATATAAGTGGACATGGAGGAAGCTGTAGAGGGGCCTGAAATGCTCTGGGCTGGCTCCTGGTCACTCTCAACACTCTTCCCATGCCCTGTGCAACATCCCTGAAGGGTGGGCGCTCCCCAGCAGCAGAGATGGCAGCTCAAGCCTCAGCAGGGCTCAGGCCCAGAGGCACAGCAATTACCTCCTGGGACTGTGCCTGGCATGGCCTCCCTTCCTGCAGCAGAGGCTGCCCATGGGCCACTGCTTCCTCCGGGAAACGCCGCCTTCAGCACAGCCTCTCCATCCACTTCTGCAGAAAGGGACAGCTGGATCAGATGGCAGCATTCCCCACTGGGGAGGTGGCATCTTCAGGAGGCAATGCTTCTCAAAGACTTGGTTAAGGACCAGGATATCATACAAACTTTTGGGATTGGCCAGAGCCCTCCTTTCTCCAAACAGCTGCCATTTCTGATCTACCCGGAGACCAGAGAATTCTACAAGATCTCAGGGTGTGCATGGGCCATGGTGCAGTTTGGAAACCCTGTCAGCTGATACCAAATGCCTTCCTGCAGAGGCTGGGGAGAAGCTGCAGCCAGGCCAGGCTGGGAAACAGCCCTGCAGGCTGTGAAAGCAGCAGTGGGGCAGTGAGGCTGCCATGGATCCCTTCCCATGGTGCAGGGCATGGCATGT